CCAAGCGAGGACGTACATAAAGTCAACCAGATTCCCACCGACCAATACGCCTCAAAACCGAGTCCTCCAAACCCCACCTGGCAGCCTTGGTGGCCGAACCGATGCAGAAGGAGTGTGAAGAGTAGCTACTGGCACCATGACCGGCGGCCGACAAGCAGTGCCGAAAAACTGAACCAAGGACAAGTCTGAACCATCCTGGTGCATAAGGAAGGAACCCTTTCGCTGCGGCCGAAATCGTAAATATTCCTCAACAGCGGAAACTGGGGAAAGAAGAGAACCACACACTTTGTAAAGGCGCAAATACGTGCCCCTGCCCAGCTGATCCGTCTTGGAACGGGGAATGTAGAGGACCACCAACGAAGGGGAACAGTCAATATCCTGCAAATACAGACAACCCAGACCAACTTTGGAAGGACTGACCAACTCACTGATACGAAGAGGACCACCAACAAAGGGGAACAGTCGATATCCTGCAACAATAGACCGACGAGACTAGCTTTGGAAGGACTGACCAACTCGCTGATACGAAGAGGACCACCAACAGAGGGGAACAGTCGATATCCTGCAACAATAGACCAGCTTTGGAAGGACTGACCAACTCGCTGATACGAAGAGGACCACCAACAAAGGGGAACAGTCCATATCCTGCAACAACAGACCACCCAGACCAGCTTTGGAAGGACTGACCAACTCGCTGATACGAAGAGGACCACCAACGAAGGGGAACAGTCGATATCCTGCAACAATAGACCACCCAGACGAGCTCTGGAAGGACTGACCAACTCGCTGATATGAAGAGGACCACCAACAAAGGGGAACAGTCAATATCCTGTCCTGCAACAATAGACCGCCCAGACCAGCTCTGGAAGGACTGACCAACTTGCTGATACGAAGAGGACATCAACAAAGGGGAACAGTCGATATCCTGCAACAACAAACTGCCCAGACCAGCTTTGGAAGGACTGACCAACTTGCTGATATGAAGAGGACCACCAACAGAGGGGAACAGTCGATATCCTGCAACAACAGACTGCCCAGACCAGCTTTGGAAGGAATGACCAACTCGCTGAAATGAAGAGGACCACCAACAAAGGGGAACAGTCGATATCCTGCAACAATAGACCACCCAGACCAGCTTTGTAAGGACTGACCAACTCGCTGATATGGAGAGCCAACACAAACACCATCCGAAACAACAGAACCTCATAACGAGAGGAGAAGACAGAATTAACTCGACCCATCAACTTCTGCAAGATACCGAAGGGCACAGGATGGCGACTGTCCAACCTGCAGCAACCCCTCCGATAACCCCGCAGAGCCTGCCGGACAACGAAGTCCTTGGTGAAATCCCGCACACCCGACAATTTGAACAAGAAGGCCAACCCTGCAAATTTCAGATTGATGGCCGAGTTCAAAGAGATAAAGTAAAAGGGTGGGGGGCAAAAGATCCATACCTACACAAACCCGAGACAGAAGGTCCCTCCATTCATGCCACACCTTTTTTTCTATTCAGTTCCTTTATTTTCTATTCAGTTCTATTCTATTGTTTTACTATATTCTTTTATTGTATTTTCTATTCTATTCTCTTCTTTTTTGTTTTCGAATTCTATTTAGTTTTTGAATTCGATCCGATTAGAATTTCAGACATAATTCCGTTTCACTTTTTAGGATTCGTTTAAATTCGTTACTATTGTAATTCGGACACATCCGAGTCTCCGAATAATGAAAAATGCATCCGAATTTCAATTCGTAATAAAAACGAACTGCACATGTCTATGATGAATTAGGAGAGGGAGCATGGGCTACCCTGATAACTGTAGAGCTGGATAACTTGAGGACTCCTCAAATTCTGGCTGCACTGCACAACACTGCTGAATGTCCCACAAGATCTCTATACTGTTGGTGACCTGCACTCCTTCCAGAGTTAAAAGCTACACACAGTCACCGGGATCATCTGCTCACTCAGCCACAGGATCATCGGTTGCCTCCCGTCAATACCCACCAGGCTATTCCTAGTGAGGGAGATGTAGACTCACACCACCATAGGACAGATGGAATCCTTCCCACCAAGTTCCTCCTGGCTCTCTTCAGTGAGACCCAACTCGATTCCCAGACACGGATCTGCAAATAGGCCCATGAAAAGCCTAGCTGGGACCTCAGCGTCCTCTCCACAGCTTCTTCTAGGACCAAGGGGCACAGCCTCTTCACAGGGGTATCCTCCTTCAGGACTGGACCCAGGAACACTGCTCCTTGCTGCCCAGTTCTCAGGTTATTAATGGGCTCTCCCTCCACCTTCTGGGCACTCCTCCCCAGGGATTGGCTGGAGTATCATAAATATTCAGGCTGCCTGCTATGTTCTTCCTCCCACTATACTTCTAGAATCTTCTAGAAGACGGGGAAGTAACAGTGCAGCAGCCAGTGAAACATAGAGCAGCCCTAAATAACCGCTTGCCATCCGCTCTACTTGCAAGTATGGTGGCAAGGAAGCCTCTCAGGGAGTGCAGCCCTGGGTGCGCTAGGATCATTTACTGCACAAGCCAATCAGTGGGTCCCGGACAATGATTAATGCCATGGACTCGGCAATCGGCGACACAGAAAACAGGACAGAGCAGTGTGACTGTAAACAACACACAGCTCTGTCCTGACAGCAGGGATGTGCTGGTTTTTGTCTCCCTGCAAAGCAGGGAATAAAAACTGGCACATCCCTTAGTAAAATCAGCACACAGTACACACACCAAGCACTGTTCGGCACACGGTTAATGACCCTGGATGTTAACCCCTCTCCCAGCCAGTGCCATTAGTACAGTGTCATTATTGGCACCGATCACTGTATTAGTTTCACTGGGGATGTCAGTGGCAGTCAGTTCCCACCCAATGTCAGTTAGTGTCAGATTGCCTGTCGCATAACCACAGTCCCCCTATGAGTCGCTGATCACCGCCAGTACTAGTATAAAAAATGAATACAAATTTCAGTATATACTGTATCCCATCGTTTGTAGATGCTACAACTTTGGCACAAACCAATTACACATTCACTGGGGTTTCTTTTTATCAAAGACATGAAGAAGGAAACATTTTGGCCTAAATGTATGAAGAAATTTGATATTTTTTTTTAAATGTTTTTATTAGATATACAGTATATCCCAGAAGTGAGTCCACCCCTCACATTTTTGTAAATCTTTGATTCTATCTTTTCATGTGACAACACTGAAGAAATGACACTTTGCTACAATGTGACGTAGTCAGTGTACAGCTTGTATAACATGTAAATTTGCTGACCCCTCAAAATAACTCAACACACCGCCATTAATGTCTAAACCGCTGGCAACAAAAGTGAGTCCACCCCTAAGTGACAAGGTCCACATGGGGCCCAAAGTGTCAATATTTTGTGTGGCCGCCATTATTTTCCAGCACTGCCTTAACCCTCTTGGGCATGGAGGTCACCAGAGCTTCACAGGTTGCCACTGGAGTCCTCTTCCACTCCTCCATAATGACGACATCACGGAGCTGGTGGATGTGAGAGACCTTGCGCTCCTCCACCTTCCATTTGAGGATGCCCCACAGATGCTCAATAGGGTTCAGGTCTGGAGACATGCTTGGCCAGTCCATCACCTTCACCCTCAGCTTCTTTAGCAAGGCAGTGGTGGTCTTGGAGGTGTGTTTGGGGTCGTTATCATGTTGGAATACTGCCCTGCGGCCCATTCTCTGAAGGGAGGGGATCATGCTCTGCTTCAGTATGTCACAGTACATGTTGGCATTCATGGCTCCCTCAATGAACTGTAGCCCCCCAGTACCGGTGACACTCATACAGCCCCAGACCATGATACTCCCACCACCATGGGGCCCCAGACCATGACACTCCCACCACCATGGGGCCCCAGACCATGACACTCCCACCACCATGGGGCCCCAGACCATGACACTCCCACCACCATGCTTGACTGTAGGCAAGACACACTTGTCTTTGTACTCCTCACCTGGTTACCGCCACACACACTTGACACCATCTGAACCCAATCAGTGTATCTTGGTGTCATCAGACCACAGGAGATGGTTCCAGTAATCCATGTCCTTAGTCTGCTTGTCTTCAGCAAACTGTTTGCAGACTTTCTTGTGCATCAGCAACAATTCTTTTCTTCAGATCCTCAGAGTTCATTGCCATGAGGTGCCATGTTGAACTTCCAGTGACCAGTATGAGAGAGTGAGAGCGAGAACACCAAATGTAACCCACCCGCTCCCCATTCACACCCGAGACCTTGTAACACTAATGAGTCACATGACCCCCGGGGAGGGAAAATGGCTAATTGAGCCCAATTTGGACCTTGTCACTTAGGGGTGGACTCACTTTTGTTGCCAGCGGTTTAGACATTAATGGCGGTGTGTTGAGTTATTTTGAGGGGACAGAAAATTTACATGTTATACAAGCTGTACACTGACTACGTCACATTGTAGCAAAGTGTCATTTCTTCAGTGTTGTCACATGAAAAGATAGAATCAAATATTTACAAAAATGTGAGGGGGAGGGGCTCACTTCTGGGAGATACTGTATTTTATAGCAAAATGTAGAAAATATTGGGTTTTGTTTTTATACCAAAACCACCAAAAGAAAGCTCTATTTGTGTGAAAAAAATTATATAAAAAAATTATATAAATTTTGTTTGCATATAGCGTTGCATGATCGCTCAATCGGCAGTTTAAAGTGTTACCAAACCCCGGACCCGCATTCACTGTATCCGCACTCCCCAGACCCGGCGTTCACTGAATCCGCACTCCAGTGTCCAGACTGGAAGGGGATGAAAGTGTCCGGACTGGAAGAGGGGGGGGGAGTGTCCGGACTGGAAGGGGATGAAAGTGTCCGGACTGGAAGAGGGGGGGGGGAGTGTCCGGACTGGAAGGGGGGGGGGAGTGTCCGGACTGGAAGGGGAAGGGGGGGGGGGAAACTGTCCGGACTGGAAGGGGGGGAAAGTGTCCAGACTGGAAGGGGGTGAAAGCGTCCGGACTGGAAGGGGGTGAAAGCGTCCGGACTGGAAGGGGGGTGAAAGCGTCCGGACTGGAAGGGGGTGAAAGCGTCCGGACTGGAAGGGGGTGAAAGCGTCCGGACTGGAAGGGGGTGAAAGCGTCCGGACTAGAAGGGGGGGAAAGCGTCCGGACTAGAAGGGGGGGAAAGCGTCCGGACTAGAAGGGGGGGAAAGCGTCCGGACTAGAAGGGGGGGAAAGCGTCCGGACTAGAAAGGGGGGGAAAGCGTCCGGACTAGAAGGGGGGGAAAGTGTCCGGACAGGAAGGGGGTGAAAAGTGTCCGGACAGGAAGGGGGTGAAAGTGTCCGGACTGGAAGGGGGGTGAAAGTGTCTGGACTGGAAGGGAATGAAAGTGTCCGGACTGGAAGTGGGGGAAAGTGTCCGGACTGGAAGGGGGTGAAAGTGTCCGGACTGGAAGGGGGGGAAAGTGTCCGGACTGGAAGGGGGTGAAAGTGTCCGGACTGGAAGGGGGGGAAAGTGTCTGGACCGGAACGGGGGGTAAGGGGGGGGGGGGGAAAAGTGTCCGGACTAGAAAGGGGGGAAAGTGTCCGGACTAGAAGGGGGGGAAAGTGTCCGGACTAGAGGGGGGGGAAAGTGTCCGGACAGGAAGGGGGTGAAAGTGTCCAGACTGGAAGGGGGGGAAAGTGTCCGGACTGGAAGGGGGGGAAAGTGTCCGGACTGGAAGGGGGTGAAAGTGTCCAGACTGGAAGGGGGGGAAAGTGTCCGGACGGAAGGGGGTGAAAGTGTCCGGACTGGAAGGGGGGGGAAAGTGTCTGGACCGGAAGGGGTGAAAGTGTCCGGACTGGAAGAGGAGGAAAGTGTCCGGACTGGAAGGGGGTGAAAGTGTCCGGACTGGAAGGGGTGAAAGTGTCCGGACTGGAAGGGGGGGAAAGTGTCCGGACTGGAAGTGATTAAAACTCCTCCCCACATGAGGTTGGTTGTGTGTACGGCAGAGATAATATTTGTGTCTACAGTGTGTAGCTATGGAAGCCCGTAGGCATTTAGCATGTATATTTTTTCCACCCCCCCCCCTCCCCCCCCCCCCCCCCCCAAAAAAAAAACTGCTTTCAAAGCAACAGAACCAAAATTAGTTCGATGTGACATTATATTTATATCATGTAAACAGCTCATTCATGAAAAACTGTCTTTCTTTGTTTTAAGGTGGTTGTATGCCTCTGAAATGAAAAAAAAAAATGAACAAAGCACATCCTTCTATAGTGTGTACTTGCCTCAGTCCAAAGCACCCGGTGTGATTTCTATCTTCTCTCTCATTCTTCTGCTGTCTGCATGAGTGTCTTCTGAGATACCAGACAATCTCGGGAGACGGCCCCGCCTCCCTCCAGCACACAGCAGGTGATTGACAGCCTCAGCTGTGCATGTTTCCCTAGTGTAGAGGGGCGGGTGTGTCACTCTTTCCACTCAGGTCTCAGATTACACT